AAAAAAGCAAATTTAAAGTTAAAATTTAAAAAATGTGCAAACATATAAAAGATTAAATTATCGAACTAATCTACAATATCATTTAAATTCAGATAGCATAAGTAATCAAGTGCAAAAGCAAACAAAGAAAATAAATTCACCAATTTAGCAAATTAAAATTAATCTAATTTTTTTAAATGCATAAGTGAATGACTGTTGAGCAGTATCTAATTTTATTTTTTTTTAATGCATAAGTGAATAAAACATTGCTCAACAGTCATTCCCTTATTCATTTTAAAAAAAAAAAAGAATTTAGATTAATTTTAATTGCTAATTGGTGATTTATTTCATTGTTTGGTTTTGCACTTGTTTACTTATGCTATCTGAATTTAAATGATTGTAGATTAGTTCGATAATTAAATCTTTTATATGTTGCTATTTTTAATTTTAAACTTTAAATTTGCTTTTTTACGTATTACTGTTGTTAAATTTTTAATTCATTCCTTGCAGCAATGGCGCAAAAAATTAATTAAATTTGTATTTAAATTCAATTTATTCTTTTGAAACAATTACATTTAATTATATATTTAAACAAAAAATTTACAACGAATTATATTTTAAGCAGCATTAGTGCATTTCAAATAGCTTTTAATAGTACTTTTAATAGTCTTTTACGCATATTTTCTAAAGCGTCCGCAGTACTGCAGTAGATTGTTGCCATATTCCCATATTCTTCGGGCTCTTTCAATTAGCTTATCCATCCTTTTATTCTTTCTTCGTGAATTTTATTCTTAAACATATTCCATATTTTTTCAGTGGGGTTCATTTTAAGAACATTTTCAGGGCATATTAGCACCTGAAACCTTTTAAAAGTAAAGTAATTTTTCAGAGTTCTGCCCTTGCCTCATGACAAAGGACATTGCTTTGTTGAAAAATGGCACTTCTCTGAAAAAAAATGGCACTTCTCTGAAAAAAAATGGCACTTCTCTGAAAAAAAATGGCACTTCTCTGAAAAAACCGTACATAAAATATGAAAAGAGGTGTTTTTATCAATACCGCTTTTTATTTTTGTGAATTTACATTGTCTTTAATTATTTCTATATGTCCCGTGCCCTAAACAGACATGCATTTTCAAATGATTAACGTTGGAGAATACTTCATCTTTAAAAATTCAACTTTTTTTGTTTGCAGTTCCTTACCACCTGCGAATGAGTTGAAGCCTGTCATTACGTATTTGGATTAAAGTCTCATCGCAGAAAGCAATCTATTGGCAAAAAGTATCAAGAATAATGAAAGAAATATTTCTTAGTTAGGAAGTTAAAAGTCAGAGGTTTAGAAGAATAAAAAAAGTGTAAAACCAGCTTTAACATAAAAATAATTAAATTTTAATTAAATACCTTGCCTCAATCCTGAGAAATTGCATGTCATACGTTTAGGTCCAACAAAATCGTTTCTTTATGATAGAAAGGTGAAATAGCTAAATTTTATGTCTTGTGTACAATTTATAACCTAGTTTTCAGAAGACGTCTTCATGCAGAACTGTGGTTTCGAGGGCTTGAAGGTCGTTTCGAGGACGTTAAAGAAAAACTTTCCTACTATATTTTGCGCAAGAGCTCATATGTTATTTACAAGCTAGTCGGCATGTAGCATGGCGTTCCACGTACACCTTAACTGTGTGGATGATAATCTATGATTTTCTGGCATAATCATATAAAATTTAATCAGTTTCCTGTCTTTTCGTTGTAACGGTATCTTCTTAGGCATGAATTTGTCTTAACGTTTCTATGAAAAATTGAAATTTTGTGTTCTCTTTTTTTTTTTAGCCTAATGGGGCAATTTGCCCAGAAGGGCCATTAATTTTCTTTTTGGCATCTTGCATTGGTTCACTATAAAGGCGTGAAAAATCTACATGAATGTATGTATGTTTCTTGCCCTTTGAAAATACACGGGCACATATAGAGACATAAAATTTTGAATAACGGAATATGGGCATATGGAAGCCCAAGTGTGGAATATGGGATTTGTTATTTAAAGAAATTAAATAATGAAAAATCTACATGAATGTATGTACGTTTCTTGCACTGTGAAAAAACAGCGGCACATAGAGACAACAAATTTTGAATAACGTACTTTTCCACTCGAATATGGGCGTATGGAAGCCCAAGTTTGGAATATGGGATTTGTTATTTAAAGAAATTAAATAATGAAACATCTACATGAATGTTCGCACTGGGAAAAATCAACGGCACCTAGACACATCAAATTTTGAATAACTTACTTCACTAGAATATGGGCATATGAAAGCCGAAGTTTGGAATATGAGATTTGTTTTATTATCTATTTCATACTTTGTAAAACTTTAACGAAGTTTTGATTAACAGATTCAGCGATTTCAAAGGAAGCAATGGCAACACTGTACAGGGAAGAAACATTTTTATATCTAGCACGCGAGGCTGTGTATCGAAAATTCTAAAGGTATGTACTTTTTAAATAAGTTTGTGATATTGCTGTTGATTTAAATTATATGGTTTAAGTGCGAAGAATATGATATTTAATGAATAAAGGTAACACACAAAATGTTAAAAAAATGCTTCTTTGGGCGTAGTATAAAATCTGAAATATTTCAGATATTTTTTCTATAACTGAGGTGAAACTTTAAACATCATTTCCTTCCAGATCTGTATTTTTAGTAAAATCTCAGTTTATCCTCTTAAATTTTTAATCATATACCTTGTTTTACACACTAGGGTTATTATATAAATTAAGTAAAGCAACAGTGCAAAAATAATTAATCTCATGACAAAAAATGTAAACAAAATTGAAAGAAACATCAATAAATTGAAATCAATGAAGAAAATTTATTAAATCTAAATGCTTGTGAGCAATGCCTTTATTTATTATGCTAGTGAGATAACAAAATATTAAATAACTCTTCAAATAAATAAAGTTTTTCCTGACAGGAAAAAAAAATTAATGGAATGTATTTTAATCCAAGCTATTAAAAATATGTTTCTATTTCTATTTTTATACGAGATTTAGAAATTTAAATTCATTTTAAAAACTTTTGGTTGAAACAAAATTCAGAGGAGAAAGCTTTGGTAAATTATGCAGGCGACGTTAAAGAAAAACTTTCCTACTATATTTTGCGCAATTCATATGTTATTTACAAGCTAGTCGATTATACGTATTTATAAATATATGATTAATTCCTTTAACTGAATAATTTCGAAATGTGCCTTTATATCTTTATTTAAGAAATATTTAATGAGTTATAGGAACTCCAGACAGATCTTCTCTGAATAAGAAAAGTGTGGGGACACATAGTGATAAAAAATATCATTTGACATATATCAACGCGATATATAGATATTTAAATTTTCTAAAGCTTGAAAGTTTTAGTCCTTATAATGCTTACAAAAAATCATTTAGACATTTCATTCTTAACACTTAAAGTTTAAAAAAAGAAAAGTTAAATAACAAACTACAGACTCCATTATAGAAAATATCTGAAGCTTCCTCAGTACTTAATCTGAGATTCTCTAAATATCGGCACATTAAAAATTACATATAGTGTAAATCTCGCTTTTTTTTTTTTTTTGAGAAAATTTGATAAAAGCAATAAGGCATAAATAATATCATGAGTATGAAAACACCAAATAGTCATTAGAAATAACTATTTAAAAAGAATATTTAAATTGTCGATCAGTCATCGCTTTCATTTTATTTAACTTCATTAAGTTAGAGTAAGTAGAGTCATTAAGTTAGTTTGAAGGAGGAATACATGAAAAAATGACTAGTACCCTCGCCGGTATTCGAACCTAGACCTTTCTAATACGCACCGAGCGTGCTACCATTACACCAAAAAGGCATGCTGGAAGAGGGGAGAAAATACCTTATAACTTATAAGGTATTATAACTTATAAGGTGGTGTAGTGGTTCTGCACGCTGGGCTAGTATTCCAGAGGTTCGTGGTTCGATTCCCGGCGAAGGAAGTTGCTAATTTTTCATCTCTCTGGCCTCCAAAAAAAAAAAAAAAATCCTAATGTCTCTACAGTGGCGCCCGAACAAAAGGGTTGGAATGACTCTCCACACCAGGATTGCATGGGGGTCCCCTAAATATCCCGTCGTCCTTCGAAAGAGTAGTGTATAAGGATTTCTCCCACCCCTAGCGCCTTGTGGTGCAACGGTAGCACGCTGGGGGTATCCAGAGGTCCGTGGTCGATTCCCGGCGGAGGCGATTGCTAATTTTTTATCTCTCTTGCTTACAAAAATTCCTAATGTCTCTACAGTGGCGCCCGAACTAAAAATGGTGTTGGATGAGGATTCTCCACACCCAGGATTTGGCAATTGTGTCCCCTAAAAACCTCAGGTCGTCCTTTAAAAAGGGGAGTATATAAGGTATTTCTCCCGCTTTCCTAGCGTGCCTTCGTGGTGTAGTGGTTCTGCATGCTGGCCGGTACTTCAGAGGTCAGTGTTTCGATTCCCGGAGAAGGCGATTCCTAATTCTTCAGCTCTCTTGCTTCCAAAAATTCCTAATGTCTCTACAAACTTAGCTTAGAATTTTACAGACTAACTAATTATTTATTTACTATAAATTGTTAATTTTTTATTTATTTTTACATTTTTTACATTTATCTCTTTTTTTTTTTTTTTTATTTTGCTCTTACTTTACATACTAAACATTCCTTCTTTCTCTGGGTTCTTTAATCTAAAAATATAAAAAATACACACATCCATGGGGAGTTCCAAACCTACGCACAGTTTTCCCTTTATAGGATTTTGATTCAACGTGTATGAAATGTTAGTAGTATTGTCACTAATAAGTATTGCAAATTTCGAGCTTGTACCTAATCATGTAGGCAAGAAATGAACTATAATAATTTCTCTATACAATTTTTTTCTTTGAAAACACCGGCTTTGAAATCTACAGACACATACATGAAGCTTATCAGCGGCTTTTCGTTGCATCTTAAATCCGAGCAAAAACTTATATCCTAATTTTAACTTTTAAAGTTACTTACCAACTCGAGTCAGACTTTCCGGTATCGTGAGCGTGTTAGTTCGTATTGCAATCGACTCGCTTCGTCCCTTGCTGTTCACAGCATAGACAATCACAAGAAACTCCATTCCTGGGGGCAAACCCTGAACCACGAATGATGGTTCGTAAGCAGTTTTATTTGTCTGCAGTCCGCTGTTAACAGCGTCATGCACTTCCAAGACAAAATGTTGAGTCATGCCACCGTCGTAACCTTCTGAGCACTCAACTTTGAACGATTGCTCCGTTTGATTTGTCACCAAGCAATTCTGGACCGGCTCCGGAGGACCTAAGGAATTAAATTATGACATAATCTGCAGTTATGAAAGAAAAGAAGGTGAAAGAATTTGCTACAATGAATTCTTCAATAAATTTGAAAAATGCTCAAATAACAGTAAATATTGTTAGGGAGTAATAGAAACCAAGCAATCAATGTACACGTGAATAATTTTTGAATATTTTAGCTGAAATACTAAAGTCCGTGTATAACAAGCATGCTCTTTGTGCCATTTCATAGACAATTTTATATAAGTTACAATTTATTTCTTTGTTATTATTATTTTGTTATTAATATATTTATTGCAATGTAAGGTTCGTCCCACCTTTTCTAACAGTAGTTGTTTAATTAAAGTTACTTTCCTGTCCATTCTTAATTTCAGCTTACAACTTCCATCCAGAACGTATTTTCAGAATCGCGAGAGAGCCAGATATTCTGGGCAGCGCGCGATCGTCTTTTAGGCTACTCTGTACTATTAAGCCTACTACTTAAGCTATTATTACGCTCAACCGTACTTTAGGCCTTTCATAGCTTCGCCGTTAGTTAGCGTTAAGGGGCCAACTCTGTTAGAATCTTGATTGCTTCGGCTATATCTTTTTAGTTAAGTTTTATTCCTTAGTATTCCTGAGTTCAAGCCCAAGTGGAGGCTTTGTTGTATTCCAAGAAGGATTCTACTGTTAAACTCCAAGAAGGATTCTACTGTTAAATTTAGTTTGGATGATAAAGGGTATTTTACCCGTCTTGAGTTCTGCTCTCTGTCTTTTGAACTTTAGCGATTATTCGTTTACCAGTTCTTAAGGTTCCTCGTTTTCAGCTGTAACTCAAAGGAAGGAATCTTACAACATATAAATAGTCTTCATTATATTCGAAGATTCATTGTGTCACTAGATTCGAAGACATCCCCCTTCCAATGCTGGTCTCAGACCTTCCACACACGTTGGCCAGAAGCGGTGGCCACTTTATTATGGAGGCACCTAATAGGTGGACCACATTTGCCTCCTATAAGGGACGGACAAATACAACCATGGCTTCTCCGGTATTCGAACCCGGGCCTTTTAGTATCGCCATCGGCTCCGCTAACCACAACATCGTCTGGGAGGGGAGGGGCGATTCGGAGATACTCTTTTTCATAATTTCACCGAGAAGGTTTTATTTTCGCTGATTAAATGAGCTTCTATGGGTTTCTCTCTGCATTATAAATGCGAGTCAGTTTTCTTCAGACAGTCATCTACGAAGTTATGTTCATTCTTTAGGCAAACTGCTGTTTTGCAGTAATTAGATCATCAATGACCAAATGGTTAAGGCTGTTGAACATTGATAATCTCGATGGCCGAGCTGAATGCATGAAGGTTTTAACCATATTACTAACTAAATATGATACATTTTCCCTTAAAATTCCACGAAGGCATCCTTTCTCTTTGGCAGGTAAGCCTGTTAAAGCTTTTTCGTATTTAAACAAGCAAATAATTCATCTAAGCTAATTAGTATCACAGGAACTGATTTAAATTCTACCCATATCCTAATGCTTCTTACATTTACAAATCCGTGATCTGTAAGTGTGTGGTTTTCACATTATCCTATTATACTTGTGGATAAGCTTATGAGCTATTATACTTGCGGATAAGCTTTGTACAATCTTCTTAAAATGGTTGATAAATAATGATGTATAATGAGCTCACTTTTGTTAAAATGAAACACTGTAACTATAATCTTAATGTTCGTCAAGCACAAAGAACATGTGCCTTGTTATTTTATTTTAAATGCACAATCTTTTAAGTAGAAATATATGTTTACGATGATTTTTTGAAGTGTTGATCTTTTTGGAAAATGTGCTAACAGAAATTTTTTATTGCTCTTAATTTGCCTTTCGATTATATTTTCTGTCAACATTATGCAATGAAATGTATATATTAAAAGAAACTGCCCAAAATTTGTTCTGACTTTATGTTCTCAGGAAGTGTAGGTAAAGAAAATGGAAATTATATTTTGAAAAATATTTCTTGCATCTTAGGTTTGCGTTTCCGCCATTGATGATATAACATGACAATTTGATGCCTTAACAATCTGATACTATTTTAATAGCTACATTGCATATTTTACATTTTTACTGGTAATTATTTAGTGCTATTATAGTGTATTTAAATTCAAATAAAGCTGGCTGTGAAATATTGACAAAAATAAAAATATTAGGAAACTCTAGAAAGCTCTTATTAATTTACCTCGATAAACATTGAATTGAAAAAAAAATTGGACTTGTATGACTGATTTGCAGTACACCAGAATGCACTTTCAACAGTAACTGCCAAATGATGTAAAAAAATTGCCGTTAGTGATTAAGATAAAGTGTTACTCCAGGAAATTTAAATAAATATACCAATTCAAATGCTGCCATTTTAATTATAAATGAATCGAAGGTTCAACCAGAATGAATGTGCTCATGGTTTTACATGGCCGAAAATATCAAAAGTTAAAAAGTAATAATATGTATTCATTTATTTTTATTCTCAAGTTATTTAAATGTGACCAATTCTATTGTTTTGTATTTTGACGATTACTTGCAAAAATGTCAAGAAAAATCAAGTATTCAGAAATTTTATGTTCTAACAATTGAGTCTATACTGTGATTTTTTAAACGAATAATACACAATTTTAATGATATTTTACGCAACTGCTCCATAGATATGCTTTCAAAAACTCAATAGCATATTTAATTAACAGTAAATATTAATTTTCTTAGCAGAAAGTTTCAGCAATTACAATTTCGCGGAAGTACCTAAAAGTGTTAGTTAATTAGTGTAATTTTTTAATAAATACTCCGATGTACAGTAAACAGTTTAATACATAATGTTGTATATCTTTAACTGTCGGCTGAAAAGCACAGTTATTTTTTAGAAGCATTACTTGCTCGAAAGGAAACAACGCCAGTACGGACTAGAGCTCTTAATTAATGTTTGCTTACTTATGCCATCTCTTCTCTCCCATATCAGTGTAATATTGGCTTATCACTTTTGGTGTGTATAAAGCAAAAGCTTTTTCCGTTGAGTAAAGGGAATCACAAATGTATTCAGTGATTTCACGTCAGCAGATCTGCGAAAGACTAAAGCGAAAATCCATTAAAGTTAATAAACTGCAAAGCTAACAACGATATTCTAAATACAATTTTCAACGGTGCTTTCTGCTTGAAGTTGAGTCGCTTGTAGTTAATTCATCCCCAGTTTTAGTTCTTTTTAGTAGCGTTCCATCAAGCGTGACAATTATTGTAGATTCTGTAGTGGTAAATTACATCCGAAGTGTACTGTAGAATCCTCGAACTTCCTTTTCATCTGTTTTTATACAGTGTTTTTACCTAGTAAAAATAGTCCAATTTATCCATAAGATATTTCGGGCCCCTGCTGTGTGTATGAGGGTCCGTATATATATATATATATATATATATATTTTTTAAATTGTTAAATAATATATATATATGTAATAATAAAATTCCATCGTCAAGAATAGACTTAAAATTCTAACTGTATGTTCTTTTCATTTTTAATGGCGACGTTCTCTTATTTGAAAGTGCGTGGAATTAAATCCACAGCCCCGTAGTCAAGTTGTTTTTTCCGCCTTTTCTACACGTACAGTTATAGAATGTTCTCGAAATATTTAAAGCAAACTGGATTGGCTGACGAAGATGACGTCATTTCTTGGAAGCTCCGCCTTTACAGAGGCTATAAAAAGACTCGCAGAAGAATATCGGGGCTTTATCTTAAATGTCACGATGCAGTAAACTTCATACAAAAAGTTATTAGTAATTCTTTTTATTTACTCCGGATATCTGATTTTTGTAACTGCTATTTCTCCTGAATAGTAATAAATGGATCCTGTTTTTTAAACTTATCGTCTGATTATTTAAGCTACGACTAAAGCTGGTACATCACATATATATATACTGCCCCAGGGAGAAATTACGAATACACAAATACACATTCGCCACTGTCTTTAAATTTTTAAATGAATTACTTACTGTCAATGCGTGTTTAATCATCACTATTTAATTAGAAAAATTAAAACTGTTCAGTACATTAATATAAGCTACGTTTCTGCTCTCACTGAGAAAAACGATCTGTAACATAAGGATTTTCATATTTTATCTCAATTAAACAATAAATATAAATAAACAAGCAGCAAAGAAAAACTGATTTCTCTTGAGAATTTTCTTGATTTAGAACTTAAACTATCAGCATACATCCTGAAATGTATTACTAAGTAAGTAATATTTTATGCTACCCTTAGTATATTTTAGATTGCTTAGTATATTTTAGATTTGCTCTTAGTATATTTTAGATAAATCAATTTATTTTTATTGCATTTAATGCACTTCATGTTGCATTATTTTAAGGAGCAGTCTGACAAAATAAAAAAAAAAAAAAAAAAAATCCATGCTAGCATTTGTGCTCAAGTGAAAACTTACAAAATATATCAAACGTAGAAAATAACAAAATGGATGCCTGCAAAAATTTTTAAAAATCAAAATCTGCAGAAAGAACACGAATTTTTAGCATTTACGCAAAATAAAATTCGGTAAATTATCTTCATTTGTAGCATTCCGAAAATATACTTATTTCTGGTGAATAAGAACATAAAATACATTTACTTTCACCCCCCAAAAGAAGCCTATACTTTTTTAAAAAATACCTATACTTATTTTCCCTCCCTGCGCTTTCGTACCTATATTGACTGGAATATATTTCATTTTATTCATTATTTTTATTTCATTTATTATATTTTAATGTTTTAAAAAAATGAAACTTAGTTACGCTTGTTAATAACGCTTCCTGCGTAATGATCTATGGACTACGGATCCATAATAATTTATAATGCATGGGTTACTACTAGCACGAAAGCGAATGCCTTTGGGGGTTTTTCCTCCAAACTGCTCCAAAGTGCTGACATGTAAATCCATTAAAAGCTATAACGTCAAATATTAGGAACATAAAATTTAAAAGTGAAAACGGTACCTGCAGGCACAACAATATACACACAGGGTTCCTTCTGCCTCCCGACGCTATTCTCAGCCCAACAGAGAAGAGTACCATAATCTTGTTCTGTTCGGGGGATGTACGTGGCTACACTGCGAAGCCCTTCTGCCACAAACGTTAACACCTGAAGATTATCGGATGAGCTATTGAATTCCCAACGGAAACTCAATTGCCTGGGGTCGGCTTCAACTTCGCAGAGAACTTTGACGGCTTCGTGACGGGCGGCTCCGTAAACAACCTTCTGGCCAGGCTTGCAGAGAGGACTGTCTGTAAAAGACATAGAAATAGAAAGACTTTATTTTATAAACTGCAAGATTTTATCGGCGGAACAAGGAAACTCGCGACCAGGCATATTATGAAACTTATTACTTCTTTTCTAATTAGAGAAAATATTTGTTTTTTATCCTGTTAATTTTATATTGATGCTTTTAAGCTGTTTCCCTAACAGTGTTGTTAATGTAATATGCTATTTATTTTAGGTAAACTTTGTTAAATTGTATAATTTAAACGCAAATCAAACATGATAATTCTTACAAACTGCCAAAGTTATTCCTCTTGTAGTACAATAAACATAAAGCAAGCAAACAATAATAAGAAGCAAATAATAATAAATGAATTACTGCTGTCTTAAACTTCTATAAGAGAACATAACAATATCCGAAGTTAGTCTAAATAAAGCCCTAATATGTGGAATAGAGCAAACAGCCAGCAGCATGATTCATTTAACCCTTTCAGTGGCGGTGGTTTCGCCTTGAAACCGCATTTTCGACATTTTTTTTAAATTTAGAAAATTAGTTTTTTTTTCTCAAAACCGCTGCTAAAATTTAATTACTACTTAAGGTTACTAAAATTTAATTACTACTAATTAACTTAGTAGTAATTTAATTACTACTAAAATTTAATTACTACTTAAGGTTGCTAAAATTTAATTACTACTAATTAAATTACTACTTTAAAGCTGATAACAGATGGCAGCACCAAACCTTTTTATGGCAACCATTAATTGATACGAATCATTCAAAATTAGCTTCTTTTCCACACTGCTCCTTTTGACCTATTTTAAAAACAAAAAACCCAAAACTTTTTAATTTTTCCACAATATATTTTATCAGCAGGCATCAATGAGTAGTGAAATGTCCTTAGTTCACAAAAAAAAAGTGAATGGAACCCTTTTAATTTTGAATGGTTTTCGTTGCGGATTCAGTATGAAACCACCGCCCCTCTGAGACATCGAAGAAAGGATCAGACGTCGCAGTCGCGAGATTTTTTGCAGTTGCGTTTATTGCTTTCGGATCACTGCTGTAAACAGTTGCACCATATCTTAATTTGAGTGGCTTCAAAGATGAGGATTTATGGAGCTTTTGAGAGAGGGAAAACATTTCTTATTTTTTACAGAGACACAGAAAAACACTCACACTTCTCTTAGCGGTCGCTTTTCTCATGCTTCTAGTTCATAGTAAAATAATTGTATGCATCTTAATTTATTTTATTTTTACATATAATTTTCTTAGTTTTTAACGTAATTTTTAAAAAATATTTCATAGATTTATGTAAGTAATTTAGAGCATTATTAGTTACTTTTTGTCTCATACTTTTTTGTTTCCTGTTTTAAATTTTTTATTTGTAATTAAAAATGCGTGTTTATACAAATATTACTTAAAAATATTACTTAGTTGCTCAGTAATTTACTAGATTAATCTGCAATGTGGGTTACGTTCAGATACTTTTCAACAAAGTAAAGATAAATAAGCAAATGTTTAGTCTTAAATGCTCCAGACGGGCGCTGGTTTCAAGGCGAAACTGGTCCCCTTTCCCTAAAGGGGGGCGAAAAAAATTTTTTTAAACTCATTTATGTTGTCTATAGGACCATTGCATGTCATTATGCTTACTTTTTCATAACTTTTAAAAAATCATAACATTGCGCCCCTGAAAGGAACTTGCTGATAACTATGTTATAATTGACGAACTATGTGTATCTCTTCATATTCATAATTCGTTTTGTTCAAGAAGAAAACCTGGAACAGAAATGGCCTATTCAAAGACTCAAGAATTACTAACGGGCAATAGCAAAAAATTACCAATAAGCAATAGCAAACAACTGCTAATGGGCAATAAAAAATTACTAATGCGTAATAGCTAACAAAGAAAAAGACGTCTAATAAACAATAGCAGAAAAATGAAAAAACGAAGCTGTAAGGATTATGTTAATTTTATTAACAGTTACATTTTGAATTAAATTTCCCATCGATTCTTAACTTTAACTTACACTTCCAGCCAGAACGTAGTTTTAGAATCACGTCTGAATACACAATGAGGAAGAGCAGTATTTAACCGCGAAGTTCTTCGGTCTTAGGTAGAGAGATACTTTTTTAGACTACGCTCTCGAAAGCTATTATCACGTTCGACCGTACTTTAGGCCCTTGATAGCTTTGCTTTCTATTAAAGCTAAGGGGCCAACACTGTTAGAATTTTGATAGCTTCGGCTATACCTCTTTAGTTTAGATTAATTTAGGTTAATTCTTAGTATCTTAAGTTCAAGCCGAATTGTCGGCTTCATTGTTCACTCCAAGACGGAGTTTTGTTTAACTTTAGTTGGAAAGGGCTAATTTACCCTTCTATCTTCTTGTTTTCAAGACATTTGCGAGCCACAGTAGCATGGTACTGCAGACAATGTACTCACGATAGATGTCGCAGTATGTACAATTCTGTAATACACATTCCACATTCAATTTCGAGCTCGTGTTAACATCTGCTTTCAATAGCCATCAATGCAGAAAATGTTACTGACATGTGATCAGTGTAAAGCACTGGGCCCCAATGGAATGATGTGTTATCGTAAATCGAAATATATAATCCGTACAGAACGATGTAGTGTATGCACGAAATGTAATTCATGCAACAGAAACCCTAATGAAAGTAGTACATTATGTATTATGAAATGAGCATATTTCCGCACAGCGCTACTGCTTACGCACACCATACTATCTCATATGTTTCTTCTGGTGTAATATTTGCTTTATGTGCTCTACGTGTTCCATTGTATTCTATGTGTCATGATAGTATTCTCGTGTGTGTTTTATGTCTTTATGTTACGTAATTACGAGTGTGTTTTAGCTTTACGTTTAATTTGTATATCTAGTGTTTCAGCTAGATGAGTGTTTTAGGTTTTAATGCTATCCTTTATTCTTTTTTAAGTTACTTTGTGTTTATTAACGTCCTATGTAAAAATACTCGACATCTAGCCCCTGTATGGCCATGTAATCCCGGGCAGCCTCACGGGGCTCCAGCGAGTTGCTTCTTCGAGATAGTGGAGGACGTGAGACATATGCCCGTTTACCTATGTTATACGCCAGGCGTCCCCGTCCTCCGTCACCTGTCACCTGTCCCAAGAACTCAAGCTATTATTCGCTTATCAGTTCTTAAGATTCTTCACTTCCAACAGTAACTTAGTTAGCAATTACAAAGTGAGGAACTCTATAAAGCATTTTCCAATAGTATGACATTTTAAAACATTGCCCATGCCCATGTCAAGATAACAATAGGAAGAAAGACTGTGTGTTTACACGTTGAAATCATAAAAAAATTATGGTGAGTTTTCATCAATAAATATGGTCCCTTTGGTGTCAGTCTGGTAGTTTTTCTATGGAGGATCTCTGGAATTATTGTTATCAGTTGTCAACAATGTAGTCATCATACAGGACTAGACAGACATGTTGTTGGCTTTATCTTTGCCAAGACGTTGTAATGTACCCCAAAACTTTGTGTAAATATAATATCGAGGAACCAAGCAAACTAAGTAGCAAATTATCATTGAGTTCAAGTAGTTGTTACAGAGAACTGAGAAGGGTTAAAATATCCTTTTATTCACTTAAAGAAAGAATAACAGGTGGCCCCCTTCTCGGGCTTACAGAAAAGCCTCCTCTCGGGCTTTTAAATCAGGTAAAGAAAATCTAGAAACTAAGCAAATACTAAGCTAATTCTACTTAGCCGAAGCTACATACTAACATTTAACATAGTTGGCCCTTAAATTAACCTAGCCGGCGATTCTCAGCACTCAAGTGCAATAGGGCGGAGCCTAATAGTTTCAAGAACAAAGTAGCGAGATGGCAAACAAGCGCCACTAAGGAATCCTAAGCACTCTCATACGAAGTAAGTTGAACTTCCTTTAAATACTTCTTCTAACTCATTTGCATTCAACGCTATTTTAGAAACTTATTCTGGTAGGGAGTTGTAAATGGGAAACAAGATTGAAAGGAAAGGGTTTCAAAATTAAAAAATAACTGTTATAAAGTTAAAATACATCTTACAACGTCATTAAACTTAGCTGGACATTAAACTTTTCTTAAAAAGTGTCAATTACTCAAATAATATTTTCTTTTGTTTTTATTCTGTCATAAATGTTATTGCTTAACAAGTCATTACTCTGTACATATTCAGATAGAAAATCAGATCTAATACAAAACTGCATACAGAAAATCTTCGGTCAATATAAAGATAGAAAATTAAAAACATGTCAATGGAATTTGTGAACAAATTTAAACATAATAAAAAAATAAGAATAAATTATTTTCTAAACCTCCCATGTTTTCTCTAATTAAAGTAAGGAATTTTATTTAATCATGGATTCTGTGAGAAATTACAGCCCCAAAAAAAGTTTCAAATGCATGTATATATACAACATAGGTTATTTTAAACCGCTGCTACATAAAAGCTTTATTTAATTTCTGGATTTATTAAAACTTACTAAATCGTTGAACAAATAATAGCACGTTAGTACATTTTGATCATGTACATTTCGCATGTTCTCTTTTAGTAGAAGACTAAGAAACAGTTGTTGACTCAGCTTTGCAGCAGGAATTACCAGATGTTTGATCTAAGTTAAAAGGGTGGTGACCTGATAAATGCTAAGGTGCTAAGGGAAATAGATTTCCTTTCAAAACCGCTGAGTCAGTGAGTAAATTTGAAGAGTGTGGGAAAGTTTATTTAACTAACTTTCGAAATCTTCTTAAGAGTATATTTAAATTAACACTAGATAAACACATTTTTCGAACATCAAACATCCAAAGTCTTTTCAAGTAGACATAACGTGGTAAGTTCTTAAAGGTATATACTGAATATTAATTAATCACGTTATGGATAATATGTGTGACCTATTTAATTTAATTTTACCTTTTAAATTAAGATTTATTCGCATTTCCAAATTGCAGTATAAGGAGGAGGAAAACTCTTAAATGGTGCACAGATGTATGTTTTAAAATATGCGGTTT